CGGGGGCGCCGCCCCCCGCGGAGGGGGGGGGGAGGGCGGGGGCGGACAGGGGACCGCCGGGGGGCCCCCCTACGGGGTGGGGGGGGGGGGTTCAGCACCCGCTTCAAAAGAGAAGTGGTTTCTTCTCTAAGATCTGAGCCTTTCCCAACTTTTTGGTCTGTTTGCAGTGATTCTGGTTGTTTCTTTTTCACTGAGCAAGCGATCATCAGATCTGGGTTATCGGTGGCGGGGGGGGGGAAGAGTTCAATAAAATGAAGCTAATCCTCCGACCCTTGGGGGGCACTGTCCTCTTGACGTGCCCTTGCTTTGCAGGATCCCTCGGGGGCTGCTCAGAATGGCCTTCGTGCCCCCCAGGGGGCCACCAGCATCCAGCCTGCCTGCACCCTTTCAGCCTCTGCACCCACAGAGACCCACAGCACCCTGGAGCAGCTCCACAGGTGGGTGTGCGCCAGACGCCCTCCTTGGGGGGGGTCATGTGCAGCCTGCTCTTGGGGGGCGACAAAGCTTCGGGGGGCAGTTGAAGTGGAGGGATTGCTCAGCATGCAGGGGACCCTGGGTTCCACCCCCCCATCTCTGAAAGAGTCTCAGCAATGGGATGTGTGCATGAAGACCCAAGGCTTCCCAGGGAGGGGTATCTAATGGTGCCCCCGGCCCCCCTTGGCCTGCCAGGTGCTTTGGAGCAGATCTGGCAAACAACGTAAGGAGCAGGGGGCCCTGCGGAGGTCTTGGAGAGGCCCCAAGCCTCTGGTTCGGCCCCAGCCCCTCCTTCCGAGCCAGTTCTCTGGAGGAGGCTGCCTGGGGGGTGGGGGGCATCCTCGTCCCCCCTGGGAATCTGCTGGGCCTTCTCTGGGGGTCTCCTTTGCCCGAAAGCCCAGCAGGCGCCCAGCCCTCCTGATCCAGCCGGCTGCTCACGGCCTCTCCCAGGAAGCCCCCCCTCCCCCCCTCCCTGGTGGCTCTGAACACCCAAAGGCTCCCCTCCCTCGTCGCCCTCCCAGGTTCAGGCTGCTTTTGCTGCTGTTGTCACGCCTCTCTGGAGAAGAGCCGCCTGCTCCTCTCACAGGCCCCTTCCCCAATTCTGGCAGGTGCATCTCTGTGGCCCCCAGTCCTCCGTCCACCCACCTGCTGTGGCCCCTTCCTCTCCTTCCGAGTTTGCTGTGGGAGGAGGAGGAGGAGGGCTGCTTAATCCAGGGCTGCTGCACCTTTGGCTCCACCTCCTTGTTCATGTCTTCTCCCATCACATTCTACATCAGGGCTTTTCAACCGTGGCTGCTTGGAGATGTGTGGACTTCAACTCCCAGAATTCCCCAGCCAGCCTGGTTGAAAAACATGTCAACAAAGGAAGGAATAATCCTCAGTTTTAAAGTATCAGACCCAAAGAATTAAAGGGGAAGGAGAAGAAAGTGTAGCAAAAGGCAATTTGCTGTACCACTGTCCTGGCTGGGGAATTCTGGGAGTCGAAGTCCACACACCTTCGAGCACCCGAGGCTGAAAAACGCCGGCATATGGCTTTACTGAACCCCGTTACGACTATTTATTAAATGGTTTCGCTCACTGCACGTCGTTTTCAGCGGCTCCCCGGTAGGATTGGTTGTAGCAAGGAATACGCGGGTTACAAACTAGAGCCGCAAAAGTGTAAACGTCGCCATTCCGTGACGAGGACTGTCTGCCCGCCCAGGTCCGTGGAGAGGCTGGGGAGGCTCAACCGGCTACTCTCAGGGGCGCTGCAGGAGTCCAAGACGGCCGCGGAGCGCATCAGCCTGCTACTCGGCCGCCAGGAGTCCGACCACACCGCCTTGGCCCTGGCTGCCCGGTGCAGGTGAGCGGCGGGTCAGACCCGCAGGCCCCCTTTGCCGCTGAGCCGCGCAAAGCAGGGTCGCCCCCTGGGAGGGAAGGGCAAAGCTTGGCACCACGGGGCTTCGTGGGGAGAGGGTGCGCTCGGACGGGAGAGAGCCGGGTGCGAATCCTGCCTCAGACAGGGGTAGGGGCAGGGTAAAGAGGAGCCGAGAGCTGCTCAGGACAGAGATGTCAGTTAGGTCAACAACCAGCAGCTGCTCAGCTCTTGCCTTCAAGGCCACCGTGCATTGCGTTACTTGGGAGCAGAACAGAATGACTGGGTGAAGCGAGCCAGCTGGCGGGGGGTGAGTGGCTCTCTACTCCCAAGTAACCTTCAAGCTGCCCCGTGAACCTGAGTTTCTCTTCCGTAGTATTTTCTGTGTTTGGTGTGCTAGCAGAGCCTACGGGGGTGGGCGGCTATAATCAATTTAAATCAATCAATCAATAAATCAATAATGGCACAGGACAGGGGTCCCCTGGAAACCAGGAAAGGTGGGAGGCCGCAGGAAGAGGGTTTAGGTGCCGGCTGCTGGAGGGGGCCCCGGCTTCAACCGAGTTGCAGAAGCAGTTTCAACTGGAGCCGCTGCTGAGGCTGAGCCGAGCAGCCCAGCCCGGCCACGTGGGGTGGCCTTGGGGCTGGGGGGCCCCGGCCAAGGCCTTGCCCGGGGGGGGGGGCTGGCCTT